AAAATATAGCAAGCAGCCCACACAAGTGGCGGAACTGTCGCCTGGTGTGGCAGGCATATTTTGGGTGGTGCTCCAGAGGAGTTATGAATGGATTGTGGTTCTTCTCCTACTTTCAGCTGTTAGTCACCGGTACCGCATTGCTCCTGGGAATAGGAATGAATTCTTCTTGCTGGCAACACCTGTATATGGAAGGTGCCAATTTCAGAGTGTTCTGGGAAGTATATGCATCCAGAAGAGGTTGCCTCCAGAGACAGAGTTGCTCCTGTGTTTTGAAACTGGGATGCTTTGTGGGGTGGGTGTGGTGGTAAACACGATTCTCAACCCCAGAGCAGTACATACTCTTAGCTACGTAACCGACAGCTTTGCTCAGTGCTCCTATGAAGAATCAAGCCATTCCCTATGTCTTAGTCACTTTCTTCTTGCTGGAACAAAATACCTGCCACCTGCAATTTAGGAGGAGAGGTTTAGTTTGGCTCAGTTTCAGTCCATGTTTAGCAAGTTTAAACATAGACATGGCATGATGGAAGGGCCTGGGCGGGGGGAAGGTGCTCATGTCATGGAGGCTGGAAAGCAGAGAGAAAAGGGAGGAGCTGGGAAGGGAGATGTGACCTTCCAGGCCACACCCCAGCTCCTGTGACCAGACCTGCTCCCAACAGCAAGTCAGTTATGCCACTCCCATGATTCAGTCACCTTCCAAAAGCCCCATATATGAGTATGTGAGCCTTTTAGGGGCACATTCTTGATCTAAACCCTAACACCCTAGGTGGTTGGTGATGAGCAATTCGAATTTTAAGACTTTTCTGATAGCATTTCATTCTGATCTGACTCTGATTCTCTAACTCATTCCTAAATCCTGGGTGTGTAAACCTATTAGAGGTAGTTCCTGGGTCTTCAGAAGGCCTCTAAAAATCCCATAAGATGTGACCTTTCCATTAATAAAATGCGTGTAAATTCTAGGGAGAAATGGTGATAGAGCACTATAAATATCCAGTGGAAACAGCATGCACTCATGTAGTAATATCTGAATGTCTAATATGCTTCAGGGAGTATGTTCTAGATGGTGATACAAGGATGGATAAGGTCTCTCCATGTCTGGCTGAGCCATCACAGAGTTTTAAGTGGTCAATCATAGCAAGCCCACATTGCTGGAAAGGGAATCCAAAGCCACTTCCCACCATTTTAAGAGGTGGATTCTTTGGGTGGGTTCAGGGTTTGGGTGGGAGGAAATTCCTTTAGGAATAAAGTGTTTCCTTGGTAGAATATCATGGGAAGTGCTGTATTTCCAGATGACACAGGAAATGAGCAAAGCTGTTCTCAGGAGTGAAGCTCATTTGTCTGCTTGGGTAAGCAGATTGACCACTTGGCCAATAGGGAGCTGGATCGCCTGACCAAGCATGGGGGACAGAGACACTAGAAATCCAAGGTCCAATATTTCTTGAGAAAGAGTAATGCTTCACTGTGCCGGCTGTCAGGAATGCTTAAATACTGACTTAAATGTATTACGACACTGGATGTTGGAGGAACTCTAAAGCAGAAACTCCAGTGTAAAAGACGACAGGAAGAGCATGGCTATCTCTTGGGTAGACTAAGGGGGTCTTAATTGGCTGAAGAGAGGCACTGCATGCCTGAGGAAAGGGTGTTTGCTTGAAAGTCAGAGGAACCTGTGATACCCTTGCTCTGCCACCTGTTAGCTATGCACCCTTGGGGAACTTCCTTAATCTCTGAGGTCAAGTTTTCTACCAAATGAGGATGACCATGGAGACCATTAGCAATGCCAAATTAGCAAATTCTATTATGAATAAAATAAGGATGAAATTAAGAGGTAATATCACAATATAATTATATGTAGTATTAATAGAAATGTGACTTATTTCTAAAGAGCATAGGGTTTCTCAAAAACATTGATGGGAAGATATACATCCCATTTGTATATAAATATGGTATATAAACTATAGCATCTATAGGATGATAATATAAATGGAAAGATGTACACATGATTAATGTCTAATTTTAGGTCACAAAATGTTCCTAGGTAGACCAGAACTTTTACTTGCCAGACCTTCTCCCTGAAACGTCACTTCCAGAGAAAATGTATTTTGGTGAAAAGCTACAGGTTCACTTGAAATTAACTCACACTGACAAGGCCACTTTGGATTTTGCGTCTGAACTTGGCCCTTCCTCTAACTCATAACAGATAATCAGGGCTCAAGGTTCTTCAGGGTCTTAGCCATTACAAAAGAAACTGTTGGTTGGTTGAGGAAAACTTTAAAGAACCAATAGTCTAGCAATTGAATTATTATAAGACAAAGCCAACATTAGGCTAAAAGTTTATTTGAAACTTACAGGGTTGAATAAACTCACGTTTATAACAATATTTGAAGATTTTTTTCCTTAGAGGAAATTGACTTTGGTAAAGTGGATCAAGTTATGAAGCAGAAAATCTTAAAGGAATGTGTAAGGATTTTTCCCTTCACTTTTCCTTAACGTTAGCTTTTTATTATCCAATTAACAATAATATTTAACTCAATTAGACATTTATTGAGCCGTTACTGTAGACCAGGTTATAATCTAGGTGTTGGTCTATATAATAGCAACAGAATAATTAATAGAGTTTTTCTGTAAAGGGCTAGATAGTAAATCTTTTGGGCTTTGTGGGCCATATAGTCTGTCTCAACCAGTCAGCTCTGCTGGGATACCAGAAAAGCAACCATACACAGAATGTAAATGAAAGGGCATGGCTGTGTACCAATAAAACTTTATTTACAAAAATCAGGCCTGGATTGGATCTGGCCTGTAGGCTCAAGTCTGCTGATTTTTTTCCTCATGCAGCCTACACTCCAGTGATGATGGTACCTAGCTTCTGGGCGTTGAGACAGACATTCAGCAAAGTGAACTGCAATTCATAATGAGGTCAATGTATTTGAGAAAGTGACTTTTCAACCAAGAGTTGAAGTTGGTGAGGGTGTTGGGAGAACATTCCAGAAGGACCACATGCACAAAAGCCCTGAGCTGAGAAGAGGCTGGGGTCTGGGGGCTGGTGTAGAGCAAGGAAGGAGAAAACCAGTGGGAGGGGAGGGGAAGAGGACCACACCCTGCAGGACCGCAGGCCACAGTGACCGGGCTTTCCCTCTGAGGACGCAGACCAGGCGCTGATGAAGGTTATGAGCGGAAAGGCGTCCTAAGCTGATGCCAGCTTTACAGACTCATTCTGTTGAGCAGATTGTAAGAGGGCAAGGGTGCAAGCAGGTGGTCCACTGGAGGAATTTCAATAATCCAGCTACGATCTGAGTGTGCACCGGGCCAGGGCAGAAGTAGATGGTGAAGGTCTTCAGTGCCCATTGTATTCTGAAGGTAGAGCTTAGTGGACTTTCTACCAGGCACCTATGGAAAATTGCGATTATGAAGGTTAGGAAATTAATTCAAGAAAAAAGTATTAAGTACATTGTTTAAGTATAAAAAGTCAGGGGCCGGGGATTTAGCTCAGTGGTTTCGCTGCTTGCTGCACAAGCACAAGGACCCAAGTTCAATCCCTGGTACCAAAAAAAAAAAGAGAGAGAGAGAAAAAAAAAAAGTATAAAAAGTCAATTTCTATTGTTTTCATAGTTAATATTGACATGGCAATTGAGACAACCCAGTTCTCTCTGGGTTCATGTGATTTTCATCCTGTATCTATTCCAACTTATTAAAGTGAGGATTCACCTCTGCGAAGTGGTGTCCAAGTAGCTTCTAGTCCAGTGAGTGAATCTGGTGTGACTCTAGGCCAGCTGTTTGATTCGAGTTTCCTAATGTGAGTCCCACAGGTTACAAGTGCCATAGCTCTTAGTGAGCGAATGGTTCTATGATCAAATAGCCCTGTACATCATAGCACCTTCTCAGAGATGCAAAAATACACATTAAGTTGGTAAACCTCTGAGCAATCTTGTAGGAAGAAAACATGAAAAACTAAAACATCTTTAACTATGTCTCTCCCTATTCTTTTTCTACTTGATCCTCTTTATTAAAAACAAAATCAGTACTAACGATAAATAGAACATGTAACTTCTAGTAAATAAATGCTTTTCTCCTAGACCTCAGACCATTATAAAATTTACTAACCTGTCCTTTCTCACAGACTGCTGCAAAAACCAATGTAATTATGTGCGCGAAGTGTTTTGCACACCATGTCTAAGATACTCAGCCACATGGGCAAGGCCAGTGTTTCACATAAAAAGGAGAAACCCTGGGAAAGATGTTTCCATCAAGGAATAAAAAATATCCCTGGGTTCCCACACAGGCTCTCAGCACTAGAATAGAGGGCACTCTGCAGTTTGCATCTTCAATGTCTCCACTGGAGCACATGTTGAAGGCTTGTCTCCAGGTTGTAGTGCTTTGGGGGGTGCTGGAATCTGTAGGAGGTGGAGCTCGTGGGACCAAGCTAGGTCACCGGGGGTGTGTCAGTGCAGGGGATACTGGGACCATGGCCCCTTCCTGTCTCTTCCTGCTTCCTGGCCACATGAGGTGAGCTGGCTTCTTCTGACACACGGTCTCACTGTGTCACAGGTGCCACCACAGGCCCAAAGCAACAAGGCTAGAACCTTCACTACTGTGAGCCAAAGCAGCTTTTTCTCCTCTGAATTTACCTTGGGTATTTTGTCACAGTGATGGGAAGCTGACTGGCACAGTGGCTAGCGCAAGTGATTTGAGAGCTGTGTGGAAAAGGTCACATGAGGTTTGTTATAACCTTTGGGCCGGAGATTTAGCTCAGTGGTTCCGCCACTTGCCTTGCCAGCACAAGGACCCAAGTTTGATCCCTGGTACCAGAAAAAAAAAAAAAAGACTTACCTTTTAAGCTATGACATTTTGTTAAACCAGATATAAAACAACTAGAAAACACTGTAGAAAAAGATCTGAAACCTATTTTAATAATAAAAGAAAAAAAGCCAACCGAATATTTTATATTGTGGTTTGCATTTAAATACATGATCTTATTTTCTGAATTACATAATGTACAATATGCTAAATTCATTTTGAAAAAAAGTGTTTAATGTTTCTGATTACAAAAGTGTACATGCTCATTACAGAGAATTTAAAGCACTGTATATAAAAAGACAATTAAAAAACTTAGTTTACCATCCAGAGATAATTTATCAGCCTTAAAATGGTTTCATTTCCATTTAATATTTTTATGTTTACATATTTTACCCACGATCCCTTTACACAACTGGGCCATTGTGACGTAGTTTTTAAAATCTTTTTTTTCTACTTAACCAGATGATACAATTATTTCCCTTTTCCCTTAGATTGTTCAACAATTCTCAACGTCCTCCTGACAGTCCATTGCATGGATGAGCCAGTTCATTGGACCACTCTTCCCTGGTGGGCCTCTAGCTTTTCCCCACATGCTCACTGTGTACCTAATGTTATAAAGACAATTCTCACACAGTGCTTTGGGCGCTAGGATAACGTCTTACGAATGAAAATTCTGGATCCAAGTACACAATTTTAAGGTTTGGTTTCATGTTGTCAAACTGCTACCACCTTGTAGGAGAAATTTATATTCCCCATAGCTGTGTTCAAGAATGTTTATCTCACATTACTCCTCTAACACCTAATACTGCCCTAAGAAATATCTGCACATTTCTCAGTGCTACACTGCTCACACTCACAGTGATTTGTATTTTTTTATTAGCAGTGAGCATTTGCCCCTCCCCTTTTTTTTCTGTTTCTTGCCATATCTCTTCCTTGTGAGTTTATAGGTATTGCTCGTATTTCTACCTGGAATGCTGCAGAAAAAATTTATTCAATAAGCCTGTAATACTGTTGATTTTAGTAGTGCTTTACTGCTAACTGCAGTTAAACCTTTCCAATCAACCACAGTGGAGCCCTTGTTGTTCCTCCTGCAATCCCATAAGCTCTTAGATGAATTTTAAAAATTTAGGTAGGGGCAAATACAGTATTCCATCTCTGGAAATTGTATCAACTCTACCCTCACAGATGAGGGCACCTGAGGATTTCTCTTCCCAAAGCTAATTCTTGGTAACTGACAGAAGTTATCCAGAGGCAGCAAACAGAAATCCAAAGGTCTTTGAAATGGAAAGTCCACATGCTAAAGAATTGAGGATGTTTTGTTTTGATTCTGGATTTTCAGGGTCCCAGTGGTCTTGGTGCTGGGAACCTTTGTGAGAAACCGAAAGACACCCTAGGAGAGCAAGGCAAGTCCAGTCAGGCAGGCAGTCCATGTGGGCTACACCTCCTCTCTGCACACCTGTTGTTGGGAGGCAGGGAGGCATTCGTAGCCCTCTTAGCACAATGCTACTGTCCATAAGAAAGCGAGCTGCCTGTCACAGATGTGAAGTAATTGGGTGTTTAATGACTCTGCCAAGGCAGTTTCCACACAGGGCGTGGTGTAGACCATGCACACTGATACAACTTCTTTGGCAGCAAAGTCTCTCAGAAGAACGCTTTAGTAGGAGCAGATTTTCTGCAGTGACAAAAACATACTTGGGTTTTTCCTCCCTCCGTTTCATAGCTCTTGTCTACCAGCCACTGGCAGAAGTCGCTACTTCTTCAACGAAGGAATGCTGCTTTCCAAAATCCTTTGGCAGAATCTCCTAGAGATTTGTTTTTCTGCAGCTTCCTAATTTTAGAAAGTCTTCAAAGAAAGAAAAAAAAATAAAATAAAACCCCTGACAAATTGATGTGAGAAGAAACTAACTGTAATTTTGAATTTGTTTCATGGAAAGTTTGAATTTATCACCTGCAACCAGTAAAACTGGAGAAGGTAATTCTTTTTTTTGGGGGGGGGCAGTAAACAAAAATGTGTACACCCTAAAATCTGACTATGCTTTATTCTCATCAAAAAGCATCATGTGATACAAATTCAAGATTTCATTAAAATCATTTGTAAGCTAAGTGAACATAACAGCTCGGTAGCGAAGGAAGACTTTTAATAAGGCAAAATAATGAGTTGTGTGAATAAACAGAAAGAATGAAAAGTGTTAACTGTGACATTTAAGTGGTTACATGATTTTAATTATTCTTTGGATAATAAGCAGCCTTGTGATGTCTATTCAGGGAACTGAAACCCATGCCTACTATGGAATTTGCAGTTGAATTAGAGCTCTGTTTTCTGCCCTTGGCGATTTCAAGGAAACAAATGGAAATGGTTTCAACACCGTATAAAAATCTACCACCTACCAAAAGAACTTAAAAGGTAAAGCGGTAAGAACTAGACAGAGGGAGTGAAGAGAAATGTTTTTTAAAAAGCCACACAAGAGCATTGTATTTATTTGTGAGAAAGAGCAAGAGAGGTCAGGGGAGTGAGTCAGGAAGAGTCCAGAAGTCCAGAAGCCCCGCACGCCCTCATTTGTTTTTGGCTGCGAGAGGTTTCCGGCTGATCTTTTTCGATTTGTCATTATTCTTCTTTGGGGGTTCTGGGTTTGCCTGCATGTGTCTGCCGTAGAGGCTGCAAAGACAAAGAGAGGAAACGGTGACACCTATTTTTCCAACCCAAATTTCTACCAGTAAAGCTTTAAGCAATATATTAATCTCTAGAAATATTCAATAAACCAAAGAATGCCTTTCAGAGGTCACCTGTTTTACTACAGTGAAGAATTTAAAGGGCTAGATGCATAGCTCAGTGGTAGAGCATTTGCCTAGCACATGTGAGGTGCTGCATTTGACACTAGCACCATAAAATAATTAAATAAGATTGTCTTGTACATGCACACACACACACACACACACACACACACACGTGTGCACATGTTCAATAGTGGACAAGCTTCCTGGAATATCCCACTCACTGGGCAGGGTGTGGAAATGGCACAGGAAGAGGTCTTCTGGATTCTGGAGGCCAGGACATGCTCAGGACAATGTACCAAAGGCTGTGAGTGTGTACGTCGAGAAGTGACAAAAGGTGGGTCGAGCAGAGGAGTCAGAGTGTCTGTTTCGTGACAAGTAAGCATCATAGCTGGCCTGGGAGCCCAGGGGCTGCCTAATGTGACAAAGAGCCATGCAGTCCCAGTCCGCAATGGCTGCTCACGCGTGATTGATGCTGCAGGGATGGTGGCCACACATCAATGCCACATTAATAAGTATCACTGATTAAATGTTGACAAAGTGCCTTACAATCACAGTGGATGGCATTCACTGCAGAGAGGAGCTGGCTCCACGGCTGAGAGGATTTGACTGAACACAACAGTAATTAATCCATAATTTATGAGTAATTTTGATTAAACTAAATTAAAAGCCACCCTAAAATAAATACAGCTTAACCTTAACTCCCCTTATCGATATAGCTGTGTCTCCCAGAGAGCCCGATGCATGTCTCGGCTCTCTATTTCTCCAAGGAGAGGCACGAGCTGACTGTCGCCGCAGCTGGCTTGCATGGATGGGACGCTGGTGCAGACTGGCCTCCTGTTCACACTGGTGCTAAGGTTCACTCGAGGAATCCCATCCATTCTTGACATTGGCATTTTGTGGCCACACACAGTGTGGTGCTCTTTAGCATGAACTGGCGCTCTTCATGACACCACACTGTGGCTGGCAGGCTGAAGGGACACCTGGCATGTGGAAGCTGGCTGTGCTTGCGTGGTGAGGGAAGGATGCACCCCAGGGTTTGGGGAGGTCATGCTGTATGCTTTTCCCTGGCGTCTTCCAAGTGTCTCCTTGGAAACTGTACTAGCAGGGTCCCCCAGCGGTGGTGATAAAGAATTTGTGCCCTCATGGGATTAGGGATGTAGAGTTTGGAGATGCAGGAGATGGAGTTAGGAGTCAGAGGAGGAGTCCCTAGCCAGGTGCTGGGATCGCTCTGCAGCTAAAGAAGGTACCATCTTGTGCTGGATGGTAACACGAGAGCTCGCACATGGGCCTCTAAGCTCTGTACGAATCAACCGTTTGGAGAGCTCTGTGCTACATCATGGAGAGAACAGCCCAGTGCTTCCCAGCCCGGCAGGCCCCACTCGGTGGCCACAGCAGAGCCACCTCCTTCTCCAAGAGAATCTGCCACCTAGGAAAAGGCATCTTTAGACTTACACAGGCTCCTCTCTGCATGTCTAAAAAAGACCAAGCCACGGCCACCTTAGGGCCCTGGAACCCAGGGAAGAAACCATTGCTTTAGACAGAGAAGAAAGCAGGACCTGTGTTACCTCTGGTGCCACCCCCATTTCCCAGAGCTGTCCACTGCTAATCCTCAACACCTGTGAGCGTGCCACCTTCAACAGTACGGTGGAGTCAGGAGCTTGCGATGTGAAGATCGTCCTCCAGTATCGGGGTGGCCCCAATCTTGCATCCCTTCCTTCCCAGCATCTCCCCAGATAAGCCCAAGAGGTAGAAGAAGCCCTGAGCTCAAGAGGAGCCATCTGCTACACTGCCCTCCCTAATCAACACACTCGGAAACATACTCTTCCCTGAGGATCCTCCGGTCCTCTCCTCCTAGGATGCAGCTTTGCTGAGGGCCGTGGGCTCCATGCTCAGGAGCGAGTGACCTCCCCTGGAGCCCTCTGCCTGTGCCCGGGTCACCTGGCACAGAGTGAAGGTCTGACTCTGTTCTGTGCTTTCACCCAGGCACCCACAGTCTTAGCAGCTGCAGCGGCACAGCCTACTTACAACTTCTTTTACCTTTTTCCTCTATTTTTCTCATCGCTTATTACAAGAAAGGAAAAAGAAATAGACAACATCAAACTCTAAGGATCCTCAAAAGCTCAGAAATATGATGCCACAGGTCATGCACCTGGAAACTCGGAAACTCGGGTGCTAGGAGGGAGGGTCCAGGAGCAGTGACAGGTCAGGGGAGGCCGAAGCTGCAGCTGCTAAGGCCTGGCCTGTGTCATGTCCTGGAGGAGTGAGGGGTAAGCTGGGCAGGGAGCTTCCAAGGCAGCGGGTGTTTGGCTGGCCTCGGGCCAAATCCAGTCACCTCACAAGGGGGTGCACAAGCCACCTGGCTCTGGGCAGCCTCTGCTTCCATTAAGGAGGGATCTGGGGTGTTCTGGTGTTTCAGTTCCTGCCTTTTATATTCAGACGGACTGTGTGTGTCTGGATTTCCCAGGGCTACCCAGCAAGTCACACAAAGGCCAGGCCGGGGCCTGCCACCATGGATGTTTAAAGCCAAGTTTTGACACCTGAATGATCAGCAACTTTCCTCTCTCCCCAACCCCACCGTACCTCAGTTTCTTCTTCTGTCAGACAACGATGTTGCTTTCCTTGCAAGGTGATCTAGTAAGCCCCACGCTGAGGCAAGTCTATTAGAAACGGCCACTGCAAGCTTTTGAAAGGAAGGGCTGATGTGGTTAAATACTCAAGGTGATTAAATAAAGGTAATTACATGATTACCTTATTTCTTTAGGGCTTTTTCCTCTGAAAAGAACATGGTATTTTCTATCAATGTTAAATCCCCAAACACCTCTGGAAGAAAGGTTTTTGTCCTCTTTGAAGTGAGCAACTAAGGCCGACCTAGCTAAATCCATCGTCCCACTTCTTCGGTGAGTCACTGGCAGGGCGGGAGGACACAGGGTCCGCTGTGACATCCTTTAACTCCGCCACCTGTGTGGGCAGATGAGAGCCAGCCTTTTCTTGGGCAGCCACTTCCACGTGGGGACCAGGCTGGGACAGGGCAGTAACCAGATGCATCTCAGGATCCAAAGTCTTGGGTTCTGTTCCTGTCTCCACCGGTAATTAGCCACGAGGCCTCAGTGTGGTAGAAGTGTGGCAGGCAGATCAGTGGGCTCCAGAGAGGGCCATATCCTAACCCCTGGTACCATGAACTTGGAATTTTACATGGCCCAAGAGACCCTGTAGATGGGAATAAGTTAGGGATCGCGAGCTGGAGAGATAAGGGCTTCAGGGTGAACCAAGTGCTATCAAAAAAGCATTCTCATCCAGCACTCTGGGAGGCTGAGGCAGGAGGGTTGAAAGTTCAAGCCCAGCCTGGGCAACTCAGAACCTGGCTCAAAATAAAATAAAAATAAGTAAATAAATACACAGGGCTGAGAATGTAGCTTAGTGGGAAGGCTTTACTTTCAATCTCCAACAACTGAAAAAGAAAACATAAATAAAAGGTTCTGGTAAGAAAGAGAGAGGCTGCTGCCTGGGAGATGGAAGAAGGAAGGGCCAAGCAGGGGAGTGGGACTCTGAAGCTAGGAAGGGAGGGACAGGGTCCCATATTCTTCCCTGGAGTCTCCGGAGGGATGTAGTGCCACACTGACCCTGACTTCAGCCTTGCACCGTCCAGAACTGTAGGACAACACATCCTCTGTTTCCAGCTCCTAAGTTTGTAAATCTGTGGTGATCTGCTGCAGCAGCAAGCGAGAACTGACAGGTTGAGTGAAGCTCTGTGGGCCTGCCTGGGTGGTGCGTGCAGGAGGATTCTGCTTCCTTTCATCAGGTATAAAAGCCAGTTCCTAGGGCAGCAGACCACCGAGAGGAGAAGTTCAAGAACCGAGCAAGGTGTGACCGGAAGACAGAGTGGGGTTCTCTTCCCACCAGGCAGGCAACCGGTCCCCTCTGTAAAGACAGGAAGTCTTTGTCCCCCATTCGCTGAAAGGAATGGCTGGTGGCCCATGTTCTGATTGTCCCTGGATTTACTTTGTGGAGCAGACTGAGTGATAAGGAGAGGGAGTTGGCTGCCCTGGGAGGGCTGGTCTCGCCTGGCCAGCAAGACCTCTAAGATGTTAACGCATCAGAACATCCAGGAAATAATGGTTGGTATGGCTCACGACAGTAGAGGTGGATTTTGTCTTCCTGACCACACAATTCCCTCCTCTTCTGACATGCACTTTTTCTTAGGGCTTTGGAGAATCCAGCTGCTCTTGCTTGGCCCGTTCTTCCCAACTCCTGCACTTGGGCAAACCTCAACCATCGCGTGGCCCCTGGCACCCTGTCCCTTCCCGGACAGCATGTCCCCTCGGCGCTCTCTGCCCAGGGAGCAGTTGTCTTGTCTCACAGGAGCCCACAGCCCCTGTAACTGGGGATTCCCGGAAAAGAGTTCCCATCTCTCTATTCCGCACCTAGCTCAGAACTGATGACAGGTGGCCTTGGGAATGCCACCAACTTGCCGCAGTCTGAAGTCCTCACCTGCGAAATCCAGGCAGAAGCTGTCACTACTTTGGATGGCACGGGGAAGATTAAATTAGACATGGAAATGGGCTTGTCCAGGTGGGCACACACAAGGTGCTCCAGAATGGCAGTGGCGGCCTTTGACCTCTTATGAAGCTCTGTGACGCAAGCCATCCGCCAGGTGCTCTCACTTCACACGTGCTGTTGCGTGGAACCTGCACTGCGATCACGCGCTTTTGGGCCAGGAGCCCTGGAAGAAGGGGCACCGCCACCTGGCTATGCCCCCTTGAGAGGGGACATTTCGCTGGTGGGCAAAATGCTCAGCCCAAAAAGTAAAGGGGACTTTTTGCACAGAGCCCCTAGAAAACTTTTCTCTCCTGAAATCTGAGCTTTCGAGACGATAATTGGGAG